TTACATTATCTATAATTTCTATATGTTTCTGGATAGAAATACCTTTTGTGATCTAATTCCTTCATCTGTCTTTTGTTATGTTCTTTACATATCTGAGTTCTAGTGCCTAGTTCTTATCCTAATATCATTTTAAATATCATTTATCATTCTTATCCTAATATCTATTTAAAGATTTAAATAGAGCCATTTATTTGTTGAAGCTGAATATGATCCATACAGGGAGAGAACTGGGGCACTCTGTAGCTTCAACATTAATTTTCTTGAACATCCAATCACCAAATCCATTAGTTTTGTTGATTTGGGACTTGTGTGTTCCCTAGATTGTGTGGAGCAGGGTGCTATGACTCCCAGAAAAGCCCTTTCACGTAATAGGCTCATTAAGTTCTAATCTATCAAACCCCCTCCCCCAAAATACACACACACAAACTACCTGGATTACAGGTAACGAGGAGAGTGTCTCCCGCAGCTCCATCCTCCCCTCGCTTCATGATCTGGATTCTTGAACAGAGTCCTTCCAGAGTCTGCACTTCTCCTGTGGCCTGCCCACATCCTTAGATCTCATCTCTCTAGTTAAAGATTATTTGGTACAACTTTCTGAACTAAGAGACTCACTTTTAGTGAAATCGGTTTCTTGCTCAAGGTCTAAGGGAGGTATGTGTCTACTATCAAATTACCCCTTGTTTTCATCTAGATTTCTTAGGGTCTGGAAGGTTAAATGGATACTTTTGATTGCAACGTTCCAAGTAACAAAAACCTAATCTGAAGTACCATAAATTGTCCCTCTCAAAATAAAAAAGGAAGGAAGGGAGGGAGAGAGGGAAAGAAAAAGAAAGGAAGGAAAGAAGAAGAAAGAAATAGAAAAAGGAACATACCAGTTCCAGTTCACAAAACAGAGCAGTCTACAATGTAGATACTGTGGCTTCAGGCACAGCTTAATCCAGGGGTTTTTTAGATCATCCTTGAGCTTGATCACTATCTCCATTCCTTAGCTCTGCTTGTTTATATACCATTTCCCTCTCAGAGTCTCTTTCCACAAGGCAGTGAAAGGGCCACCGTCAGCTCCAAGACCACATCATCTTTACAGCTTGTGAAAATGGAGAAAGAGCACTTTTCCCAAAGGCCTTGATGAAAGTCCCAGGGAGGAATTCAGCTGGCCTGGCTTGGATCATGTGTACATCTCTAAACCAACAGCTGTAGCTGGGGGTTGAAGAATTCTGATTAGCCAGTCCTAGGCCACATAACCACCCCCAGGAAAGGAGGTAGGGAAGACAGGGTCAGCTCTCCTCCAGAAGTGAACTGGGCAGGATTTATCATACAATGCAAGAGGGCTTGTTCTCCAAAGGGAAGTTTGCCAGGCAAACGTAAAAATCAAGACCATACTTCAGTGTAAAGTTTGCTTCATATTTTGTAGTTCTGGCTTGGAACCATTTTTTTTTCCCTGTTTCATTCATGACACTTATTTCTGTTTTTCATTCTTTGCTGGTTTTATTGGGTTTCTGCAGAATGCCTTGGCATATTTAACCAGAAGCCACCTTTTCTTATTTTTGATCCCAACAAAACTAAGAACACTTGACAGTTTACAAATAAGGTTTTCAGGCCTTGGTAATCATTCCACAACCCACAGTGAGGGCTGGGAAGAGATGGCAGTGAAGAACACAGTTATTTCCATTCTACAGATTAGAAAACTGAGCCCTTGAGACTTGTCAAATACAGCTAAATCAAATGACAGAAAGAACTAGACCTAAATCCAGAGATTCTGGCTCCCAAAGGAGGATTCTTGACTCTCAGTTGACTGCTCTTGGGCTTTCTTCCTAAAGATCACATTTCCAAACCATCACGGTCTGAACAACGTTTACATAGAAAGCCTCAGGAGGTTTTTCAGCAGATATATAAAGGGGTTCATCAGATTGGGCCATTGGATGGACAGATGAATGGAGACGCACACACACACACCTTGCTCAAGGTCTGAGGAGCTGTGTTGTTTTTAATCCATAAGGTAATACAAAGTAAGGGAGAATGAACTATCGCTGAGGAGCAGGTCTGCCAAACCTTAAATAAGTCCCTAAACGGACACATGGAGATTGTCATACCTGGCACGTGGTTTGAGGATGGACAGTTCCATAAGTGCTTGAGAGTGTGTTCTCTTTTGTAAAGTTAATAGTCCCCCAATATCTCGTTTGCAATCACACCTTGCTTAGTAACTCCTTTTTTCCATCCTAACCAGCATAAACTCAGTCCATCTCATGTCTGAATTATACATATTTTAAATTAAGGGTATATAAATCACCACAGTTACACTGAAACAAACTGTTCCTTTCCCTCCCCAGCCAGAGAAGCACTCGACACAAAGGTGGCCCCTGTCACACTGGACGAGGCTGTGAGGACCCCAGGCTGGGAGCGTGTCCTCGCCAGCTCTGTGCCCTTTCCACGGTCTGCTCGTGCCCCTCCTCCACCCCTTGTCATCTCAATTCCCTTCCCTCCCTTCTCTTGCCAGCCCAGCTCACGGACGAGAGTCTTCATTTTCCACTTTATGGTTTAAAGATGAAAAAATGTTAATTGAGGGTAGGGCTCTCGCATCAAAACTGGGAATACTCCAGTGCATAGCAAAGATCATTTCTTGGAATTGTGTACTTAAATGTTTACAAGAAACAATTATCAAGTGTCCCAGACTGATTCATAAATGTAATTAATGAAAGAATTGCTAAGAGTTTCCATTTTCTGGTTTGTTTTAATCCTACTATATAAACTTTTTTTTGGGGGGGGCACCACTCCAACAGAACTCCATCCAAAAATTAAAGGAGGTAAAGATTCATAAAGCAAAAATGTTATTGAGAGTTAAACCTGCCAGCATGTATTGCAAACCCAACTCAGACACAATCCTTGTATGATGCAACAGCCATCCTAACAAAACAAAAAGAAAATAATTAGTGCTGCTGCCAACGCCTCGTAATTTTGGACAGTGAGGAAGAAGTGCTAATTGATCTGTCCTTTGCCGTGGGATAGAATATGTAACTGAAAACGCCCCTGCCGTCCCAGACTGAGGAAGACATAATGAACTCTGCCTTGCCAGATTACTCCGCCACATCTGAAGGTTTGCGAAGATAAACAAACAAATTAAATAGCCCTTGTCTGGTTTTTCTAGTCAGCTTTCATTACTGTAAGGATGGATGCAGCAAGATAAATGTTTCCTTTTTACTTCGGTACTGAAAGAAACACAAGTTTTCCTGCTGCCTTTTATGTTTAAGCTCTGAGGGCCACAGCCTATTCTTATTCACCAACTGGAAAAGATTTGTCTGCAATGGTCAGTTTGATGTTTTCTGCTCAACTCCCAAAGTCCCAATTTGAAGTCATTCTCTTCCACTTAAGGAGACATTGCATTTTTCCTTTAATTTAAAAAATGTTCTGAATGCAAAGCGACTACAAGGACTACTAGGTTGCCTAATATAAATTCCGTGTGTGTGACACTCTTCAGGCTGTGTCAGCAGACAAGGTCAGTTCAGCTAAACTAACAAGCTGCCAAGCAGCCACTTGGGGGAAAGTTTTAGGCACGCTACACGTGTACAAGCCAGAGCCAATGCGAAACCTAAAGTGAGTGCAACGAGTACTTGGTCTTAAAATGGCCCGTGGAATTTAATCTTGTTAAACAAATTCAAACTGGGCAGTTATCCATGATGACCCAATGGAAAGTCCTGGAAAAAAATATCTTTAACTGAGTGACCCTGTCCAGTCCAAGACCTTTTGCCTATCTTAGCATCATTACTGGCAGGGACTGGAAAATAGAGCCTGCTATCCCCTTTTATCCCCCCATTCTTGCCTCCAGTTATATACGGCTTCTTTAGCAAAACACCAGGGTAAGAATTCACATGGCCCATATAATGAACCACACAGAGAAACCTTTATAAATCTTTAATATGGTGGGAAAATTGCTTCTCAAGGAAATCCTATCTCGGAGCATGGTATGAAAAAAAGTAATTCCCGACCATTCATTTATGAGGGGTCAATGGAGGAATCGTATAGATAACTGAAATCCACAGACTTCTCCTGTTTTAACCACTAGTTTGCAAAATAAATATTTCATCCAAATTTCTACTGGAGAATAAAATAAGTGTTTGATCTTGTGGAGTTAGCAACAGTGGACTCATCCAGAAGGAGATAATAAGAGATTCCAGGCCAGGCAAGAATCCCAAATAACACACAAACTAAATGGTCAGTCGTCACTCAAGGGCTGGCTGGAACAGTCCAGCTGGACCTTATTCTGACAGTCCTATCGAAGCAGCATTTCGGCAGTTATGAATAAAATTTTCCTGAGGATTAAATAAAGAATGATGTAAAATCAACTCCATTCATCCATGAGAATAAAAATCTCTCCCATTCTTGCACCATTAACTAAAACTTTTGCTTGTATAAAAGGGAAAAAGCAAAATCAGTCATCTATGTAAGATACAGAACAAACTGGTAAATGATATAGTTATCCTGACCAAAAAATTAAATAAAAGGAATACTGACCCTCCACTTCTGAGATGAGATGGTACGGAGGTTGTTCCTTCGAACGTTTCTTGCTCCTTGATTTCACTGAAGTCTCCGTCACAAGTGAGTCGAAGTGGGTGACTCTTTAAGTGGCCAATGGCATTGGATTCTGTTAAATAAACCCCGTTTATTTTCACCATAGAGTCCCCCATCATAACTGTTTCTTTGGATTCCACTGTCTTCTTTGCTGCAATAACCAAGAAAATGTTTGGTCAAAGGATTTCTTACCTTAGGAATCACTACCTTTCAATGTTACTTTTCAATCTAATAATTCGTATGATTTAAAATCATACATTGCTTATAATCCACTCTGGAATTTTACAGCTAAAGCTCCTCTGAGCGTATACAAGGCCCCACCACTATTTAGGCTTGGCACCGTCATGCCATCTGCAGATGAAAACGAATAGGATCTTATCTCCATTAGCTTACAGTCTGCTTGAAGGCAGACACTTGACTTTAGGCTTATAAACTACCTAGTCCATATAAGTACTTCTGTGTCCTATAACAAAAATTCTTCCTCCTGAATTTGATCATCTTAGTAATTTTTCATTCAAAAAATATTTACTGAATGCCAGTGTCAGGCACTGTCCTAGGCAAGGACACTTGCACTGGTGTCAACACAGAGATCTCTGACCTCAGAAGGTGTACATCCTAACAGGCATAAGTAGACAATAAGCAACGTGCCATAACAAATAAGGTATATGACACGTTATAAGACAGTAAGTGCTTTGGAAGAAAGCAAAGGCAGAAAAGTAGAGAAGGGTGAAGGGGATTGGGAATGGGGGC